TTATTTAGGTACTGGGAATCAAACTCAGGATCTTGCTCTTGCCAGGCAGGCATGGTAGTCCTGAGCTAAATTCCCAGCCCTCGTGTAATTATTTTAATACTAAATTTATTGAGACATCATGAGGTTAGTACAAGTGACCTATGGCCACACAGTTACAAGTGGCGCTCAAAGTGGTGGCCATTAGCTTCCAGATGTTTATTAGTATAGGAAGCAGCTGCTTGGGTAACCTTGGTCACTGAGATTACTGTACATGCATGTTCAATTTCTTCTTCTCTTAAGGTGTAGCGGTGTAGCGGGTTTGCTGTGCTGTTCAACATCCTCTAGAATCCCGCCTATGAGGGAAACACCATCTGTTGAATAACCATCATACTATTTTTCTTTTCCTGAAGTGTGTATACATTTTTTGACAGGCCCTGTATATGAAACATATATTCATGGCACAAATAAATGGCACACACTTGTATTTAAAACTCAGGTAAAAAAGGAATAGTTTTTAGTGGTATGAGTAGGTTTCAAATACTCCAGTGACATATTTATACCACAAATACTATTAAATTATTTATTACTTTGCATCCTTTTTCTGGTAATTCTAACCTAGCAAAAAGTGAATTCATTTCCAAAGTGTTTTTTTTTTTTTGGTGCTGGTGATCAAACTCAGGTCCTTGTGCTTGTGAGGCAGGCGCAGGACCACTGAGCTAAATCCCCAGCCCTCATTTCCAAAGTAGAAGTTCACACAGTGTAGATGCTCATATTGGGCTTGACATCACAGACCCTAGAGTTTGTAGACTTTGCTTTACGTCTTTGAATGCCGACTGTGTAAGTAGCTCAGTATTCAGTGTACTGCCTTGCCATAATTCTCTGCAGTTTGTCACTATGTACATGATTTCTACTGAGAGAAAGGATTGTTTTCTGACTGGTAAAGAAGTAGGCGGGGGAGATGAGCAGAGCTTATTTGTGAGCTGGCTCATGGGATCTTCTATCCTATGCTGACCTGTTGCTGCTGGATGGTGGTTATAGAGCATTTGAAAAGAAAGTATGAAATTCACTGTTGGTGTTTTGGGGTGAATGTAGGGAAAACAATGTGTACCTTGTTAAGGTCTATAAAACCCTGGGTAAGAGTTTTCTTGGGGAGTTACTGACTGTAATATACTCATCATTTACTTTGCTGCTCAGACCAAGATGCCTGAGAACTGATGCACCGAACACTGAGCATGGCTTGGAGAAAGACTCCTACTCCATTATGAGGTTCTGTACTTAGCTCATGCCCTGTTAAACTATCAGATGGCTGAAGTATTATTCTTATTGGAGGATTTTTTTTACAACTCAGAAACACCCAAGTTGTGAATAGTTTGTTTTAGAAAGTGAAAGAGTGTATTTCCTCATGACTGGAAACATAATTAAACATGGCATATTTCATCTCTCACACTCTTCTCCTTTCATACTTGTGCCAAACTTGATAATTATGGAAATTCTACAGCTAGGGTACTTGGGCAGAATGGTAGATATTTATCTCAGAGGAATTAGACATTTTCTTTTTGAAAAAGCTGAGTTCTAATGGCAGAAAGATTGACCAAAAGCAATTAGTTATGAAACATTTTTGTGGCCTTGGTATCATGATCGTGTCAGTAAAGTGATGGTCTCTGATTAAATCCAGATTGAGCTGTTTCCTGTTAGCGTGTTAACCCCCAGGGCAGGCTCAGTCTTCCTTGTCTCACTTTCTAAATCTGAGTTATTAAATACTTGTCTGCTAAGGGTTCCACCTCTTCTCCTTCAAACTTCAGTTCAAAGTTTTTAGGGTACTACAAACAAAAACATGTCCTGAAATCTCTTAAAAGAATTACAGACGTATTGACTCTTTTGGTGCAACAATGAGACTTTAACATTTTAGCTTCTCTAGGCTGGCCATTATGGCATAGAGTATTTGAGTGTGGGGGTGGGGTGGGTGGGGCTTCTGTGTGTGTGTGTGTGTGTGTGTGTGTGTGTGTTTCACTTCTGTACAATTTCATTTGAAGATTATTCCAGTCGTAAACAGATAATTTTCAAGTTATTGTTTTGTAAAAATTTTGGTAAATTAGAACTCGTCTTGAAAAACCTGGTCTTCCCCCTGGGATAGCAAGTGGACATTAGGGGATGTAGCAAATGTATAGAAAATGATATTAAGGAAACAGTGTGACACCTTAACGTGCCTTGTTAATTTCTGTGAGAGTGATTTTAGGCACCAGACCAAGTCTATGTTTTGTTTTATGACATTGTCATTTATGCTTACTGCACTCAGAGAATGATTTTTAAAAAAATCTAAATATTAAGGGTTTCAGCCATTTGTTTAGGACAAACAATGATTCTTCCAAATGTACAGATGCAAACACTGAGGAGCAAAAGTTGTTAAAGGCGCAGACTGAGATTTCTTTTTTCTGAGTAAAGGATGGCTGAAGAGAAGAGACTGGGTTAATGAGAAACATAATTCCATTCCCAAGGGAGAACCTTGGCTTCCTGCCAAGACTGCTTTCTGGCGCAAAAAGGGAGCCACTTCATCAGGTCCTTTGACAAGCATTTTTCTCTGTGTTTGAATTTTTGGCCACATCAATACTCAGTGAAAAATTAGTTCTTTTAAGTAGTCATTGCTTTCCATAGGTAAGATTAAGTTTTAAAGTGGAGTTTTCATTCTAAGTACAGTAAGATTCATCAAACTTCGGAATTGTTTGACAAGGTAAGCCTGACATTAACACAAGGTAAGGAAGGTTGATTTAGAATTAGAGCTTGATTGTCCCTAATATTTGAAAAACCCCATTCCTTTTGCTGTTAACACTTGACATTTAAGTATATTTTAAAACTGTTGCTTTTTAATATTATACCTGTCTTGGCCAGGTCTCTTGAAATGCGATGTGAAAGACACAAAACATCTCTACATTTTAGTGTTGCATTAAAAAAGAGATAAAAGAAATAAAGAAATATAGATGTTTGTAGATAAAAATTAACATGTTTTATAGTGTCTTGAGCTTTTTCTTTTCTTTTTTTAGTGAAAAATAGCAAATATGAACTAGGTCTCAAATACATTATGGTAACATTTTTCCAGCATAAATGCATTCCAGGGTTTTGCAGCAATGCTCAAAGAATAAAGAGAAATCCATTTGGAAATGCCACATCCCATGTCTCTCTCTTGAAGTTTAATAATACAGGTTAACATATTAAAGACTAAGACATACTGCCGTAGAGAGGTATCTTTTACTTTATTGAACTCTGTAGTCTCCATACATGACCACAGGCCCTTCTTTTTTTTTTTGGAAATAATATTTTTTAGCACTCAATTAAAGCAGTACTACACCAAGTAATTAAAAATATAGAGTAGTTAGACTTTGAAACAATGTATCTTTTCACTTATTATTTCTGCTTTAAGTTAATCAGAGCTTCTAGGAAACAGATTCTACTAGGCTTGTTCTAAAACTAGTGTATAGTGATAAGGAGTGTTTGTTGGGCTTTGATCTGACTCAGCAGTCTGGCAAGGCCTAAAGAAACATTTGGTATTGCATAGGAACTAGATCTCTTTCCTCAGAAAACTTAAAAGTGAAATGAAATAAAGAGCCATTCACTGCATAAGCTGGGGTCTTAATATTAATTTCTGTTAGCAGTTAGACATAATGACATTAAGCAATCTGACCCCTTTCTTAAAGCAGTTACCACCATTTCAGTCTTTCTGAAAGCAATTCCTTGGTTAATTTCCTTCCAGTAGTTTTAACATCTTCCAGGTTAGGTGAAGAAAAAGCAAAATGCTTCTTGGCAAGCATAATTGCTATCATTAGGGATTCATTTCTCTTTTATTGCCCCTCTTAATGCTTACATGTCTGATTCCTTAAATTTAGGAAAAGCTGTAATAAAGCAGTTCAGTTTATGATTCAGATAAACTTGCAATTGTTCATGTAACTTAGAATAATTATTTGTTTTAGAAAAAGATTCACTACAGAACTTCCCTTGCAAGGACAGTTTTCCTAATGCCTGTGAAAGGCAAGGCATTAAAATTGAAAATTATTTCTCTGTACACTTTGTTACCACACTTTACATGGCAGAAGGTAAAGCACAGTCACATTTTATTCACTCTAATTCTCTTCCCTCATACTTGGTTTTTAAGCTTTCAGATTTTATCATCAGTCAATTTTTATGTATTATGTTTATGCCTGACAATGTACAGTCATATCTACCATTCTTCCAGTTTTATTCTCAAGTAATAAATGCTTTTCATGAGTAAACGTTTTATCTGGTACAGTTCTAGTTTCCAGGAGGCAAAGCTCATGCACCTACCCACCCTTTCTAGTGCTCCCCCGAGATGAACCCAGTGTGGCTTGGTGCAGCCCTATTTCAACCAGTGCTACTGATTGCTGATGCTATCGAATCAGAACGTGTGCTGCTTTCCACGGGCTGAAGAATATAAGCTCGTGGTTCGATCTCCGTAGATTGCCATGGAGAAAGTACTCCTACCATGGCTGACTTTTCAGGTTATCAACGTGGTGTCAGTTGATTCACACAAAGCCTAAAAAATTTTTAACAACAGTCACCTGTCTAAAACCAATATGAGTTGATTCTGGCACACTACTCTTGGAACTGTCTTTAAAAATGAGCTTGAAAACTTGTCTTGGAACAATTTAAAGGGAACGATTGATAGATAACTTGCAAAACTGGATCCTGGGATGATAGGAAACATCTCTGATAAAATATGCCCGCAACCTCTTTCTTGATATGGGAATATGTAGAAGCAAATGTAGCTGCTATGAAGTAACACTTGGACCTTCTGGAGTAGAGATGGGGAACACACATACGTAGGTCCTCCACCACCGTCACCGCCACCCTACTGCGTACACTCATAGGAGAGAGCATTGCCTCATGTGACTTACAGGGAAATTAAATAGGAGCAGAGACAAACAATAGACTGTGGCTTTAACTGTTTTGATGTTTTCAGTTTTAGTGGAAAAAGTAACTTCTCCTGTGGTAATCATTAATTTATTATACAGGTTGAAGGGGACCAGCTGCCTCCAGGACATACAGTCAGTCAGTATGAGACCTGTAAGATCAGGACCATAAAAGCTGGCACCTTGGAGAAACTTGTCGAGAACTTGCTGACAGCTTTTGGAGACAATGACTTTACCTATATCAGCATCTTCCTGTCAACCTACAGAGGTTTTGCTTCCACTAAAGACGTGCTGGAACTGCTGCTGGACAGGTGAGGATCTAAAGAGGGCTGAGTTGTTGGGACTGTAAAGCTGAATGCAGAGAGGAAGTGTGAGGTTCTGAGTCACCTGTGGTTGGTGTACTGAGAGGGAGTGAGGAGGGAAAGACCTTTGGGACAGATGACATCGAAGACTACTCAGAAGCCACTTATATGATCTGTTCCCTGTGAACAGAATCTCATTAGGAACTCGGGCTCAGGATATGCCCAAGGCTGTGGGCCCAATCCCAGGGGTACTTCAGAATACATATGTGTTTATGTTTGTCTGTGTGCATATATGAATTGAGTATATGTAATAAATCTAGATTCGACTGTTTATACATTTCAGTACTATTTGCCACCCTGTTTCTAATTTTATAGAAATTTTAGTATTTATAATTTTATATAAATTCAATAATTAATGAATTTGTTGTGAGAAAGAAATGTGGTAATATGTTTGAAGTATGGAACTCAGCTTTAGACCCACAGTAACAGCTATCTATTAAATAGCAGCTATGATAATGGTGATAATAGCTATTAGCAATCACCGTGTATTAGCTGCTTTATGGATACGGCATTGATATCCTTGATTCCTGTTGTTATAGCTCACATACACAAGAGCAGTTTATGTTGAAATTCACATGTGGATAATCTTTGTATTTTCTACTTTACTTTGGTCTTACTTATAATTAAACTTGTCCATTTAAAAAATACCATTAAGTGAATTTGATATTGGCAGGGGAAAAAAATTGTCAGCCAAACAGTTGTTTTTGAATCATGAGAATATGCATTCAGTTCTTATATTCTGGAGTTTCCTGCCTACAGAAGAAAATAAGCTGGGTGTTTTTGATGGGCTTGTTGAATATTGATTTTGATACCTAGATTTTTTAAAATTATAAAACAATCTGTACTCATGTTGAAAATGTTAAGAATTCTTCTACTATAGAAGAGTATAAATAGCTTTGTTCTGTTGTTACATTTCTTCCCAAATAACATTTATAAGGTTGTAAAATTTAATAAGTTATATTACATAAATATATTCCTGAAATCTGTAAATGGTTGAATCTAGATTTATTATTGCTACTCTTAACTCATACATATACACACATATATATTTATATATTACATGTATAGTAGTAGAAAGAAGAAAACTAAACAGACTAGAGTCTGACGAGGCAGATAATACAAAATAATGGTTTAAAAATATCCATATATATGATGAAAAATTCAAACAATTCAAAAAATTATAAATAAAAAGCCAAAAATTTCCTTTTCTCCAAGTTCTCCAGACTCATCTTCTCTTATAATCACAATAAACTTGTTTTCTTGGTGGTTCTTCCCAAATTTTTCTGGGAATATATTTGAATTTTATGAACAGTGCTAAGAGGAGCATCTTTTCTTTTCTTTTTTTTTTTTCTTTTTTTGGTACTGGGGATTGAACCCAGGTCCTTGCTCTTGTGAGGCAGGCAGCAGAACCACTGAGCTAAATCCCCAGTCTGGGAGCATCTTTTTTGAGTCCTCCTTTGAGAATTCTGTGGGATAATTTCCTGGAAGAGTGACTGATGGGTGAAAATATATTAGCATATAAAGATTTGAACAATATTGCCAGATTACCCTCCAGAACGTTGTACCAGCCACGTCCTGTGCAGTGAGAATGAGAGGGCCCACACCCTCTCCAGCTGTAGCTATTTTCATGCCTGTCATAGACGTCATCTTTACTATGATCTGTCCATGGGAAAACAATAGCTCCTTGTTTTTGAATTTATGTTTCTTACATTCACTAGTAGAGTTTAGAATCTTTTAAAATGTTCACTGACTATTTGTGTTTCTATAAACTCTTTTCTTATCCTTTGCCTATTTTTCTTTTGGACTATTTTCCTATAACTGCTGGTCATCTAATTGTAGTTCTTAATATTTTAAGGAAATTAGTTTTTTGCTTATCATCATGTTGGAGATATCTTTGCTAGTTCTTTGATTTTAAAGTTTGTTTATTGATATTCTTTGTATGAAGAAATTAAACATTTTAAATGTAATTATATCTGTTAGTATTAAGAAAGACCTTTAATGGCTGGGCGTGGTGGTGCATGCCTGTAATCCCAGCACTTGGGAGGCTGAGGCAGGAGGATCGCTGTGAGTTCGAGACCAGCCTGAGCTACATAGTGAGACCCTGTCTCAACCCCCCCCCCAAAAAAAAAAGACCTTTAATAATCAAGTTCTCTTTCCAATCAGGAAAGATTATTGATAACAATAAGGATTTTCCTCAAACTGGTTGAGTCAGCCTTTGGTCAATACAGAAAATATCTGAGATAATCAGTTTATAGAGAGAAATGTTCATTTTGGCTCCAGTTCTGGAGGCTCCAGTGCATGATTTGCAGCCCCTGTTGCTTTTAGGCTGGTGTTGAGTCACTGTATCATAGTGGAGCACGGATGCTCATCTCTTGGCCTGGGAACAACAGGAGGAAGAGCAAGGGTCCCACTATTGTCCCACTATCTTCTTCAAGAGCATACCTCTTGCTAGACATGGTGGTGCACTCCTGCAATCTCAGCAGTTGGAGGCTGGGGCAGGAGGATAGCAGTGAGTTCAAGGCCAACCTGGCCTACATAGTGAGTTCAAGGCCAGCCTGAACTACATAGTGAGATCCTGTCTCCAAAAAACAAAAACCCCTATTTAATTCAGTGGCGCCACACCTGCTGGCAAGTGCAAGGTCCTAAGTTCGATCCCTGATACTGAAAAAAAAGAAAAAAAAAAGAGCCTTTAGTTGCCTAAAGACTATCTACCAGATCCCAGACCCCACCTCCTAAAGATTCCACCACTTCTCAATAGCACCACTCTGAGAATTTAATACATCGAACTTTGGGGAACATTTAAGATCCAAACAATAGTGTGAGTTTTCTTGTAGATGCATACAGAGCGAAATAATTTGGATCAGAGTTTATTTGTATGTGCATATTCAAAGACACAAAATATCTGCTTGTTATCATACATTTATCTGGTTAAGATACCCTGGGTTGTAACATAGGAGGTTCTGTAAATATTTTCATAAAAATGTTTGACAAAATATTAAGCTTGGAGTGTAAATTTCTGGGATTGGTGAGTAATTTTCATTATAGTTTGTTGTATAATAGCTCATAGCTATAAGTAGAAATTTAAAAAACGATGTGAATTTTCTCCTTTTGGCATTTTGTATTTATTAAAAGATACAGTATGTTAACTGTTGGCAGGCAGTAGGAGGAAATAGGTCAGATTTACTTTGAAGTTGTAACTTTTTCTACCTATGAGGTAACTCCGCTGATACTAGGCATAGATTCTTGCTGTTCATCCTGAAGAGTGCACACACACACAGGAACTGGAGTGTTTAGTCTGTGACTGGTGTACATCCAGCTTTTATTGGATGATTTTAAAAATCTTCTCTTTGTTTTCTTATTAGAGTGGGTAGAAATTTTTGGATTTTAAGAATACTAATTGGATAATTATTAAATAAACTCATCATGAATTCAGATTACATTTAATTCAAACTGTCATTTGAGACATAACTGAATGGAAAAGTTAACACTTATTTTGTGCCATTTGGGTGGACCAAAACTTTGCTTTGAATTTAATCTCATAGTTAATCCTTTGCTTGTTCCTCAAATGAGTGAAACTGCTAAGTACTGAGCACCTATAAAATACCCAATGTTCTGCTTTCCACCATTTAGATGAAACTCAGAAATATAAGGCTTGGTTTTTGCCCTGATGTAGTCTAGAGATAGATTTACTGTGAAACTACTGTACTTTATTGTGAGGCCCCTCATTTGCGGTACCTTCACATAATTTTAAATTTACATTTTCTTTTCCTTGGAGAGGACCTTTCAAATTACGCTAGTCCCATAAATCTAGATTTATCCCTCTGTATTTTAATACAAAAGACAGAGCTTGCATTCCTGGAACTAGTAGATCAATACCCATGATGTAAAAGAAAACTCAAATGTGTTCTGCAGATGAAACGAGGTTCAGAGATATTGATGCTACTCATTTTGCCTCTTCTGGAGAATTTAGATTTTTCCATATATGTACAAACCTCAACATGAATATTTCTCCCTAACTCCACTTCCTGTTCTCACTTAGATCTTGTGGCTAGGCTTCAGTCTTGATTAAGTTTCACTAAAATGCATATTCCATGAGACACTGCATTCCTAAATTGGTTGTTGGGACTTCTGATGTCTATAATTAGAAAGAAGCAATTACATTATACAAACTTGCCTATTCTGAAGATGAACATTTGAAATATTCTTTTCATGTCATTAGATTGTGGTAGACATTTGTGGGTTTCTGATATAATTTTTTATGTTATTTCTTTTGGTTTTCTTAATAGTACATTGATTATGTTTTGTGAGATTAACACTAAGAAACTGAGTCTGTGCTAACCCTATAATAAACAGTCAAGAATAGATTGAGAGCAGATGCAATATTTATTTCCCACCAGAGAATAGCTTATTTGAAGTCAAGCCTTGTTTTCCCTTAAGACTTTCAGTCATGGCTTTTCTTGTATGAACTGTTTGTTTTCTGGGATTTTCTTTTTTTTCTTTTTATAGTTTTTTCTTAATTGTGCTCATATGTGTCTTTGTGATTGACCAATAGACGGTGATTTTAAGTCATGTATGGATAATTCTGTGTGTTTACTTTATCTCTTACTTGGGGTAAGGATTGCTATTTGCTGTGCTTCTCACAAGAGCTCAGAGTTGACTCTATTCCATGCTGGCTTCCTTTTAACCAAAGAGAAAGTCACTGAATTGTGGGTTGGTTGTTTGGATTGGGGTTTTGAGATTTTATTTTCTCTAATTTCAAACATACACTCCACTTAAAAATCTGTTGTTCTTACTATATTTTTAAAAAGGGATTTAGATGCCACTGAAAATACCCAACCTCAAGTGAAGACAGAATCCCACTTCACCTTGTGATCCTGAGAACCATGAAATGTTTATACAAATAAGTAGATCTTTCTTCGGGTGACTGTCACAGTAGCTACTTTTGGGGG